ATAGGTGTGACGACATAGTTTAATAAACTTTTTCGATTTTCTGTGTCAGATTACCAGAAGAGCCAAAATCACCTGCGGCAGCGGATAACTTCTTTTTTTTGCACGCATGTATATTATTTTGTAAATAAATGACGATATATTTTGTACCAAAAAATTTTTTATTTACTTTCCTTAATCATACCTTTAAGGGGAAAAAACATTCATTCAATTTTATGCAATAGTTCCTGAGAACAAAATTATTGAAAATATGCTTTTTTTGTGCGTTCACAGTGAAATGCCCCCTTAAGTTGCCAAAAAGGCTTCGAATAAGATCGATAGGATGGAACACTTGTGAAAGCAAATATGTACAAATTAATAATAATTGAAATTATTAAGTGTATTCCGATCAAAAAACAAAAATGTGCATAGTATATTAAATATGTTTCTGATACCACCAAAGATGAAAGTTGCCATGTTTAACATTTTTAAATATGGAAGATAATATTAAATTAATAAATTTCTTTTTAATTAATGCTCGACTCCGTAATTTGAAAATATAGTGTACATAGGCTTTGCGTGTTTCATCATAGTTTACAGAGAACACGTACTAAATTTATACTAAATTTTAATGATCATGTCTGAAGATCATATCAATCTTTGTAACACTTCTCTGAGAACCTAAAATATATTACATCTATAATATCAATTACCTGAGTACGTTGTAAGAATTGCTGCATCGTAGAATTATATTTCAATATTTAATGAATAACTTATTACATAGATATAAATTTACAATGACAGAACTCCGTCCTTTTCGCTTTTAAGAAAACGTGTATTGTGGTTGTACAGCATTTCCTGTACAGGTAATTTGAACGGTGGCTAGTTACCATAAAAATTGTCATCTTAATAATAATTTACAAGAGAATGGAATAAAACAATAAAATAGTCTAGTCAAAATATAGTAGTTACAGTTCTTAAGGGGGGAGGGTCAAGTAAAATTCAAAATTTCGACCTCTTTTTTTTGTTTAGAAAATTACTTTACCATCTGGAGAATGTGCTCCGACCATTTCAGCTAAAACTTCGAAGTCTAAGTGTACCTACAGAATCATTAAAGTGATACGCTCCAAACGGTACACGAAGGACTATTTTTGGATCCGGAAACTTTAAACGCGTTTTTCTCAAAACACAAAATTTCGCGTGCCGTGCAATGTAGCTTAGAGATTTCTCAGCCGATTGCTATGAAAATGGCACAAAATATTCCTTAAACTATTCCCCCTTTGCATCAACCTAAAGGTTTTTATAAAAATTGAAATAAACAATGTTTTTAATCATTTTGTTTGTAACAAGATTTTTTTAACGTGGCGTGAAATTTTTAACTTAAAATGTTTTTTTTTTTAAATCTAGGTTGATGCAAAGCGTGTTACTATATTTTAACAAAAAATTGGTGGATTTTAAATTTCAAATAATTAGAGTGACCTGTGCGTTGCACGGCGCATTCTCGAGAAGCCAACTTCAAACAGCTGCTGTTCATTCGTTTATGAATATTTTTACATAAAAAAAATTATATAGATTGACTAGATGCTATAAAATAACAAGTAATTAGTTGTAAATAAATATATATTACGCACTCTTCAAGAATAATTTGCGAAAAAGCGGTTGTTTACTTGACCCTCCCCCTTTAAGTAGAGATTTAATTCAAAATAGTTAATAAATTTAATTGTTTTCGAATTATTGTCTTATATTAGACAAATTCTAGTAAATTCTTTTTTAATCACTATCATTCATTAAAAAACTTCCTTCATGTTAGATTCTTGCATTCAATCTACTTCAATGAAATTTATTTACCTTATTATTATTCCATAAAGACCATTTGCGAACACACCAGAATACCGGAGGAACTGCAACTCTTATTTTTCACATTTTGATCATCACAAGTTAATGTACCTGTCTGGTTGTTGGCTTTGAAACTTGAATAAATTATTTAATTGGTTAAAAGAAACTACTGAACACATTAATTTAAAATATTGTATATATATGTACTTACGTTCTGAGGAGATATAGGTATTTTTTCAACCAAAAATTATTCATTTCGTTCAACTTGTGATAAAATCAAAGCTAACGATTTCAATGTTTACAACATATAATATATGACAAATTTACTGATTTCACAATAACGTAAAACGTAAGCCTTCTTACATCAAAACAAGAATAAATTTATTCACCACACAGAACTATGTAGACCCCAAAAATCTGCATATATAAAATTAAAATTCAACAACGACGGACTTGCAAAATGCGTTTACTTATACAGCAAAAACATGTATTTCGTAGTAAAAATATTAACTTGTGTTCGGGAAATACAAATGCACAAGAAATCTATTTGCAACACGTATAGGAAGTTAATCGTTCAACAAATGTTAAGTCATTTTTATTCATTTTCGTATTAGTTTATACTAACTTCAACTTGACGTAGAATCAAGGATCCTCATAAATAACTTTTCTATTTGTTACAATTGTAGGATACCGTGTATCAGTTTCACTCATTGGTGAATATCGTTTTTTAGTTTCCTGGTAACGAGAAAATCTAATTGTCTCTGTTTAGCGTGAGGAACCAACGAAAAAATGCGCCATGTATTTTTCCTGAACAAGGAGTTCACGTCGCAGTTACTGTGTTTGGTCGGTGATATCTTTGTAACGTTGCTGAGTTTTTCGCCACAAAGCCTGCTTCTTTTCCGTCATAGAATCTAGTTCGATTGTAGGAAATTCGCTCGTCGTCCCGAGACCGGTTCTGCTGGGATTATTCGTCATAGGTATCTGCAATCGGAATAAAAACGCGTGTTAAGCGAGCTCCTTATCGATTTGCAATTTATTCGCTGCAAATAAAGATATACATATATCGTGATCAGGAATTCAGTAATGAATTGCTCGTTGAGTAAACACCCAATATAAGGTACGATGTTAATTCGAAACTAACGTTTATTCGTTTGGCGTAGACAACTTTCATTCTCTGGAATTCAATAATTGATTGCTTATCGAATAGAAATACAATAATGGAAAAACGTTTGTGTTAGACAAACATTCTTCGCGTCCGAGAATTCGATAATTAGGTGCTTGTTGGGAATAAATGCAGTTGGAGAGAAATATCTATCTGAAAAGAAAGTATCGGGTTAATTTATAAATATAAATATACAAAATTGCTTGAAAAGAATTCGTAGGAAAACGAATCGAAATCCTGAATAGTTGTAGGCTTAGAGAAACTGGTTTCGATCTACGTAACGTAGATCGTTACGTTACGATCACAATTGTTTACGTTGTTGAATATTCTTTAAATTCGACATGCACAATTCTAAACAAGTTAATCTACAGACCATCGTTTCATAAATAAAATGATGTAAAAAAAGCATAGTAGTACAAATTCCTTAAATAAATGCAATTAAAAATTCTTTTGCAATACTAATATAAAAATGGAGCATAATTAACTTGTAGAATATTATTAAATCTTATACCACGGTTGCAATTAATGCTTTTGAAAAATCATCACGCAACTCATGTTTTGCAAAATTAAAGTTCTTTCTTATCAATAACGAGATACGAACATTGATATTATTTATTAATTTCGGTTCGTCGCTGGAAGATGAAGTTTTTCCCCTTAGAGACGCCTATATCCATGCTAGAATCGGGACCTTGTTTTCGTGTTTCCGCGCGGTATCCTTTCCCACTTGTTTCCTTTTTACGCATTTTCCATTCTCCTCGTTTTAGTCTTTTTCCCTTTCAACCAAGTAAGTCAAGTGTCGACGACGGCCAGATAGGGCCTCATTTACAAGCCAGACGGGGGAGGCTACTTGACCCAAATACGCCCAGGAGAGGGCATCTGCCCGGTGGATGCGACTCAAAACTTAAAATAACCCTCCTTCACTCGATAAAAGTCATCCCCTGCCGAATAACGTTTCGCTTCCTCTTTCAACCCGCGACGATATATTTCTCGCGTTCGTTTCCGCCGCAGAAACCCCGAGAATCGATCGAGGGAGACAAACGATACAATCGTGGCTGACGCTTCGAGCTAGATTGACCTCTCATTTTTTTCGGAGCAAACTCGTTTCACGTATTTTTCGATTCAATTATTCGTTTTTCAGTCACGCACCTAACTCTCGGCTTACCGGCGTCGAGATCTCGATAATCTAATAAAACTATCAAGTAATAATTATTTTTAAACATTATATACATTAGTTATGTATAAAATATTGCTGTGATGATTTTTCTTTCATACAATTATTATTATTATTTAACTTCAATAAGTCACGAAATTGCACGGCCCGCATATGTGTTCGCTCTTTTAAACGGCTGCCAGACCGATGTATCACCACTCAAAGTTTGCCAGATCAAATTTTTTTAATCCTATGTATCACATATTGTTTATACAAAAAGTTTCAGAAATAATGATTTCAGTCAAACTACTTCGTTTTTCCGACAAGGTTTTCCGACTGCCAGACCCATTTAGCACCGCTTACAATCTGCCAGACCAACTTTTTTATTCAATTTGGTATGTCAACAATACACACTAAAAATTTCAGTAGTAATGATATTGGCCAAAAATCAAATTATTATGATTCGCTATAGTGAAGCGTTGCACCACTGAATTCGTACCAGACCAAGCAGTTCTGAACTAGGGAGACATACCATCTTCGAAAAACAGGTTCATTTGTGTAATGAAATGAGTCACCCATTTCTGTCGCGAGCTCTCGGACTATTAAGAAGAAAAGAAAAACGAAACAGCTAGACAAAAATGTATAAAATACATATTACACTGTTTAGAAGATAAGACATCGATTTATTTACTAATTATAAGTTGCTATTATAGTTTTTAATACCCGTTCTATATTTTACCAAATGCATGAAAATTAATCTTTTACTAAAATAAGCAAACACCTGCATGAAGGAATAGTAGGATCCCTAAGTATCCCGAGGGTTGATTAACCCCCAAGACTTATGTTGAATATACAATAATTTCAAGTGACACATCCATCCCATCGCCTGCGTAGCAATTGTTCGGAGAAATTGTTGATAAATTAAACAACGATACAATTTTTGAATCTACATTCCTCAATATTATCCGTTTAATGTTATAAGAAATTTCTCTCGACCCGTAGAGGGTCGAGCGCCTCAGAAGATCTTGAGAGATACCCTTTAGAACGTTCCTTTGCTCGCGTTTTACGCCTTGAGTGAGCTTCCTTTGAAATTTTTAAGTGGCTGCAGAATGCAACACTGCGAATAGTTTTCAGCCCTTAATTGAGCCAAGTGTTCTTACTTTCGCCTACGTTGAATTCGCCCGGGCAGCAGGAAGAGCGCATTAAAGAAACAGCGAGGTAAGGAACGACGAAATATAGTTATCAACGAAGATTTAATAAATACTGGGTCGCTGTTAGGCACGTACTAAATCGCAATCCAAAGGAGAGGGATGACTAAAACATTAAGCATGCATTAGGAATTCTTTTCCAAGTTCATACAATAAATTTCATATTACTTCTACTAATAATACCGCTGAGAAAGGGTCGAAAAATATTTCTGTATGAATTTTATACAATTTATTTATCGATTTATACGAAGGGCAAACTGATCGTGAAACTATTATATTTCCTGTTGATATCCTGTTGATGTGGATATCTTAATGGTTGGTCGAGATATTTCAAAAGCGGTTTTTCCGAGACAAAAAGGTGAAATAGTTTATTAATTAGCACGAGAGTGGTTGTCATGTGAAACCGAATAAAGGTCGATTCAGACTATACGACACGTTCCGGCAACGACACGTACCGGCACCGACACGACAAAACATTCAAACACGCGTTTTAATGGAACTATTCACACTATTCCCGTTGACGGAACGTTCAGGTCGGTGTCTGTTAAGTGTGAATAGTTCCATTAAAACGCGTGTTTTAATGTTTTGTCGTGTCGGTGCCGGTACGTGTCGTTGCCGGAACGTGTCGTATAGTCTGAATCGACCTTAAATCGTGTAAATGAACAAATAAAAAACAATAGCAGGTCCGATAACAATCGAACGTCGTTTCCCTCGCGTCTCGCCGCTTAAATTCGAACTTGAGCGAGAAGGGAAGCGTTGGGAGTTCCGTATGCACCAACCTAGTAATTCCATTGGAGATAGCGTTCCGTCGAGGAGATTAATCATTTTCGTGGCATAAATCGGGTAAAATATATTCGCGAGGTCCGTCGGACGTTACGGTGGAAAAGGAAAGACGGAAGATAGAAGAAAACAGACGAGCCCGAGCGCCAGTTATAATATATATAAGTGGTCTAGACAGCCCAGACGGATGCATCATCGCCATCATCGTCGAGCGAGAAAGCGAAACTCGAGTCGAGCCGTTTTGCTCCCGAACGTCTCGCGAGCTCGTCAATCGGGTAACGAGCGCTCATTTTACGCGCACGATAACGCGTCTGTCGCTCGATCATGATCCGTTCTCGTCTTTCCTCCTTGGTTGCTCTCTTTCGTCGCTCCTTTCGCTCGCGTTCCATCTTCTTGCACAGGAAGAAGAACGACCAAGAGACGTCGGACTAGGTTGCCTTCGTCACGGAGTGCTCGTGGGAGTTTTTAAAGGGCTTGATTTTAACACTTTATTTACCGAGAGCCTATTTATAGGCTTTTTAATTCCACTATTTAGCTTTTCGAATTTATTTACTGTGTTGATGGTTGTCTATTTACAATAACGACGTTCAATGTTTGGATACAGACTTTCAATGGACCCAGTAACAGTATGGAGAAATTATTGTCAGCCTAGATTGGCATATACTACCGTAGACAATTCTTTTTTGAAGTAAAGACTGTTTCTAAATACCCCGGTAGATAAAGTGTTAAGTGTCTATATGGTTTTTTTTTTAACCCTTCGCAGTGTACATTTTCTGATGTCCGTGCAATTTTTATCGAGCCTCATTCGACATAGAATCGCAAAGGGAGTAAGCCTTAAAGTGGAGTAGCCGCATTATGGTAAGACGCTTCAATTTCATAACGCTATAATCATCAAGAGTTTTTTTGTTTTGCCTCCGCCGGGGATCGAACTCTGATCAACGGCGCTGGAGTCTAACGCCCTAACTGTTTGACCAGTAAGCTCTTTTGGAATTGGCACGAGATTAGGGGTATGTAACTCGCCTCAAGTTTAACTGCAAATAAAATTTAACTAAAAAAATTCGGTTTTGCGCCTGTACTAATATTGTATTCTATTAGTTTAAGCAGAGCCGGCGCAAGGCAGGTTTAGCGTGTTCGCCGGAACCCGGCCCCGCGTTTTCAGAGGCCTCGCGGTGTATGAAAATTACCCAATTAAAAGGCACCGATTTTGATTAATAATAATACATTTTTACAAATCTATGATGCCATTAACAGATGCAAGACATTTTAGTAGCGATGATTCAGATTAAAGGAGTGACGAAAATCATCAAAATATCTTATACAAAATATATAATATGTAACAGCATTTGTAAATAAATAGTTCCTCTATAATTTTCCTTGCCAATGGGCGTTACGAAGGAAAGTTCGACCCATCCACCTCCAATTGGAATGTGCCCGTGCCTAATAGAGGTTTACAAACATTGATTGGCTTGATCCAATCTTTTAAAGAAGAGATGTGGTCCATCGACCGTTCCAGTCTAAACTTATCACAGCTGCCCGGGATGGACAGATGGTCGAGACAATGATACACCCGGATTACTTATTAAAAACGGATTAAAAGTGTCTGCGAGACAATAGCGCGACGCGGACAAATATAAATCGGTGGCTGAATCGAGGGAGCTTCGTAATTCGAAACACAGACATA